ACTCCTGTAACATCACTTACTATGCTTCCTTTGGTTTCATATTTCCAAAGCTCTCTTTACTCTTTTTATCATGATGTTTTCTCTTCTTTGTTATCTAATCCTTTGAAAGCACCAGATCCACTTCCTACTCAGAAAACTGAAAAGCAGCTTCACTTTTGCTATTCTTTATCTGATTTTCTTGATTTGCTATGATTTAGAAAAAGCCTTCTTACAGATACAGAAGACACAGCTGATGAAACAGGTCAGCCAGTGTATGGAGCATACAAGCACATTGATCATAAAGTCAAGCCAGTGCCTGGAGTCTATCCAGAAGATGCTCAAGTCCATTGCCAGTTTCCAGAAGACCCCCTCACATCACTCACACCTCTCACTCATCACCCTCCTGTCTTTGTTCCCACAAGGAAGCTGACTCAAGAGCACCTTGCTTCCATGAAGATTAACACTGATGGCTTTCTATGGCCAGAAGAGGAAAAACTTTTTTTGCATGTGATGAAGCTTAATGAGTGTGCCTTGGCATTTGATGAGTCAGAGAGAGGAAACTTCTGTTCTGACTACTTTTTACCTTACATCATCCTGGTGCTGCCACACAAACCATGGGAGTTTCATAACATTCCAATTCCCCCTGGCATATGAGAACATGTCATACAGCTTCTTTGGGAGAAGATTGCCACTGGTCTCTATGAGCCAGCCAGTCATCCTATCACTCCAAATGGTTTTGTGTTATGAAAAAGAATGGCAAGATCCACATTGTCCATGATCTACAGCCTCTGAATAAGGTTACAATTCAAGACACCAGTGTTCCACTAATATTGGATGACTTTGTGGAGGCATTTGCTGGTCATCAATGCTACACCATCTTTGATCTATTTTCAGGATTTGATGCATGCCAACTCCATCCCAATAGCCAAGATCTGACATCCTTCATGATGCCTCTTGGCTTACTGCACCATGCTGCCATGCCTCAAGGCTACACCAACTCACCATCAGAATTTCAGAATTGTACAGCTTTCATTCTACAGGATGAAATCCCCCATGTTGCCAATGTTTTCATCAATGACCTGCCTGTCAAGGGTTGACAACCTTCTTCACCTTGTGGTCATCAGGAGAGCAACCATGAGGATGGCATGCTTGACCAAGAATGATAACACAGGGCTGGCAGATCTGAGACTTTATGCCAGAGAACATTCTGCTGGCATGAGCAAACCAATGCATGACTCTATGCACATCTACAGCATGTTCCCATGAAAACATTGGCAACATGGGGGATTTCATCCTGTAGAATGAAAGCTGTACAATTCTGAAATTCTGATGGTGAGTTGGTGTAGCCTTGAGGCATGGCAGCATGGTGCAGTAAGCCAAGAGGCATCATGAAGGATGTCAGATCTTGGCTATTGGGATGGAGTTGGCATGCATCAAATCCTGAAAATAGATCAAAGATGGTGTAGCATTGATGACCAGCAAATGCCTCCACAAAGTCATCCAATATTAGTGGAACACTGGTGTCTTGAATTGTAACCTTATTCAGAGGCTGTAGATCATGGACAATGTGGATCTTGCCATTCTTTTTCATAACACAAAACCATTTGGAGTGATAGGATGACTGGCTGGCTCATAGAGACCAGTGGCAATCTTCTCCCAAAGAAGCTGTATGACATGTTCTCATATGCCAGGGGGAATTGGAATGTTATGAAACTCCCATGGTTTGTGTGGCTGCTGGATGTGAGCAGTCATCCTTTGCACAAGAATGAGTCATCAGTGCTAAAGAGAAAAGAGGAAGCAAGTCAAGTACCCATCAAAAGTTTTTAGCACTTGAGTACAGCATTCTGGTTTGCATCATATCTCCACCATTTCCAAAGATATTGACTCCATTCTCACACTCACTTAAAGTGCTCAGCCATGTGATGCTGCCTTCTGAGTTGGGAAAGGATCTTCACACCCTATGCATTTCTACAGCACTCCATCCATCAGATGCTCATTTTGCTAAGTCCATCAGATATGGCTGCCTTTTTGTTGATCATCTCACTTGTCTCCTTTGTCAGAGACAGTGGCTATGTATATCTGCCATGTGTTCCCACCAGCTTCTGTCCTGAACCCCCCTGGTTCATTCCATTGTCATCAGCCCCATACCATCCCATGCAGCTTGGTCAGTGTGTTCTGCTTGTCAGTATGACTTCCAGAAGGATGTTCTTTGGTCACCTCAGGTCTGTCACTCAGTTACAAAGGTCTTATGTGGTCATTTTGGTTCCCCTACTTGATCAAGCATATGGATCCTTCCTCCCTGCTCCCTGCAATGTCTTTATTCCAATCTCATCCATCATTCTCCCCACATTGTGACAGCTGCAGTATAATCTACTGTTCTCCAGCCTCCCTGATCACATCCATGACAAGTATGACATGCATCTTGCCTTTTTACTGCAAGACCCAGCAGAAGATGTCCCCCCTCCCCCCCTTCTCCCTCTCCTCCACCACAGCCCCAAAGCTGTTATTGACTTCACTGAGAGGACAAGTAGGTGGGAGACATGATTGCCTATGCTCCCATTGCCCCACAGACCCCCAACACCCTAGCCCTTTGACACCTGACTCATGCCATCCATTTCTGGAATTAATACTTCCCTATCTGGAAACATTGTCCATCTGTCATCCCATCTTTGGGTCTAGTAATGTCTTCACCAAGATCTAACATGCATTGCCACCCCCTAATGTGATATCAGTGCACTTACTCAGGTTCTGACTCATACTGTGATATTTTGACTGTCCTTGATTCATTTGTTGTCAATACTTACCAATCCTCTTTGCTTGCTTACTTTTCATTTCTTGCTTATTCATCATGATTACTCATTGCTTACAGTCCTTACTCATTACTTTCCAAGCATTTGTACCTCATTTCTCATAGGCTGCACTCCCCCCACAGTATATAAACCCCCTGTACTTAGCTAAAAAAAAAAGCAATCAAGAAGTCACTCAGGAATCAGTTCAATTCACCTCAGACCTAACTCATCATCAACAGTTGAGGCTCATTCAGAAGAGTCTATCTGTCATCATTTGTATCCTTGGTAGTTGAGGCTCCATTAGGGGTCTATTTACCTCCATTCATTGTCTGCATTGTCATCTGTGCTTAGTCAGCACATTTGATTAGTCATCCTCCCACTCCCATGTCACTCAACATTGACTTGTGCCAGGAGTCCTTTTGGCTGAAAACCTTCCCCCTATTCAGCATCCCCAATCAAGTCTTCATTCATTCACCTACTCCTGTGTAACTTGTCATTGACTTGTGCCAGGAGCATGTCCCATTGAAGATCATCACTCTACTCAGTATCCCCCTTGCAGTCATCCCTCATCCATCTTCTCCTGCATAACTGATTGATGACTTGTGCTAGGAGCACCTGCCTTTGAAATTCCCCCACATTGGATTCTTTCTGCCCTCCTAGTTCTGCAGAGGTACACCACCACTCACACATTATTTGTCTTTGGTGTTGGTTGATTCACAGCAGCTTTCCACACTTTGACTCACACCAGGCATCCTTGTGGTTGTGCCTGACCCTGGCACTTGTTACAGTAATGGCCCTTCTGGCCACATCCAAAACAGGTAATATGGGAATTATCCTTAGGGGTTCCCTTCCCCTTGCCCTTCCACTGGGTGGCACCTATCTCCATTGGAGCACCAGCCCCAGGCTGAGTACCTGTGGTCATGAAACCATGAGACTGGTTTTGCAGCCATGCTCTCTGAGAGGAGGCCATCATATACTGGTGGTTTTCAAAATTACCAGCCACCATCCAGAGCTCAACTACATAATCCTTGTATGTATCTTTCCTTTTACCCTGTAGGTGCATGAGCTGTAGCCCCTGGGGGTTGATTGCCTGTTTGAGGCACAGGATTGCCAAATCATTGGAAGCACTCACCATGGTCTTCCAACTGCCAAATTCTGCCAAGAAGGTGTCCATTTGGACAGATCCCTGCCTTGCTTTCGGCATCTTTTTCCAGGCCCAATCCCCATTGTTCATGGCCAGAAGTGGGCATTGAGGTTGGCCACCACCTCATCTATTGTTGGCCAGTTACAATTGGTCAGATGGTAATCTAGTCTCATCTGTGCATAGTTGCCAGCTATGGGTCCAGACATGTGAGTCCAGAAGGCCACACAGTCCTGGCTTGTATAGCAGTGGACAGCCACTTTACAGTAGGTTCTCATCTTGATCACCCACTCCTCATATCTTGCTACCAAGCCATTGAACTGGCCTGGATTGGCAACACCTCTCTTCAAGGGGTTGAAGTTGATAGTTTGCACTGCAGGGGGCACACCCATCTGTTGCTGCATGGATTAGCATACCTCAAAGTTGCTAGAGGTTTGGCTAATTCCTTGGGTGTTTGTCAGGTGTTTGTGGTGAGTTTCAGCTGAGAGTATCAGTATTCAAACTCTGACTGCTCTTGTTGAATACATTGTCCATAGCTGCCATGGAGTCTGAGCTGTCTGCTCCTCCCCTGGCATCACAACCCACCAGATCAGTGACAAAAGCAGTGGGCCCTTGCATTATATGGGAGAAGACTTATGCTGCATGGACTGATTGTCTTATCAAGTGGTGTAGGACCCATGAAGCAGAGCAGAAGAAGTTGTTTTCTGACTCCACACAAGATGCTCAAGAGGAAGGTAGGAGTAAGCAACAATTGTGACACAGGAAGAATGTGATATATGTTGAGATTGCAAAGGTGATCTTCTTGGTCAATGAGTCCCCTGAATCCCAAGTCCTTGCTCAAGACAATCCAGCTGTTTTCACTGTTCCAATTCATAGTCAGCTTGATGTGTATGTCCATCTCTTTTAAACAAAAATTCACTGCTCAACTATTACAGTTTAAAAATGAAGTACCAAAAACAGAACACACTACTTGGGCAGACAGGTGCCAGGTGCACCTATGAGGATCTCACAAGCAGCAACAGCACAAAAAATATAATCAGTATGTGACTACTTCATTCCTAAACACATTAGTTTACTGATTGTTATCAGCAATGATTGAGAAGGAGTTTCCTTGGTGGGGAGAATTGCATGGGTGGTGCAACAGCACCTGGAGTGCTGCTGATAGTGGGCAGGATTTCACTAGGCACATAGTTGAACTCTTCAAGCTGTGGCCAAACCTACTGTCTGGAGATTCTGTTGATCCTGCTGCAGGCCCACTGAATTCATCTCAGCTGGAAGAAGGTGAAATAGCAGAGGGTGGCAACAATTTTCATACTAATGACAACTTTTTTGCAGATGATTCAGAACTGATGAATGTTGACAGCAACCCCCCCTTTTCACATGTCGAGATGCCATCATTTCCCATACCATCCCCCTCCCTGCTCTTCTCTGAGCAAGAGCTGCTGCTGCCTGTTATTCCATTGCCCTCTCCATCCTCTGCTGGATCTAAGTGGTTGATGCTGTTGTCCCTCCCTGCTAATTCTGAGTGGTTTTTGCTCACCCCCCCACCATCCTTCAATTTTTCTGAGTCATCCACCATCATCCCTCCTCCCCCTTCTACTTTTAACAGAGTTAATTCTATCAGCTTGAATGATGACCCCCCTCCCTTTGTATTCCATTGTCCAAAACTTCAGCCAGCACATCCATGCCTCAAGCAGGATCGACCCCTCCTTAAACACCAGTCAGCCTCCACTCCAAATACAGATGACTCCTCTGACTCCAACATCACTTTGTCCAATATGTTCTCAGCCCTTTGTCTCTCATTGTCTTCCCCCCCAGCATCACTGCTCTCTCTGATGATAGCAATTCCAAGCTGTCATCAAAGCCATCCCATGAGTGTGCACAGGAAACCCCTGCTGACAAGCTTTCTTTGGACCTTGCATCTGCTTTGTTAACCTTTCATTAAGCAATTTCAACAGGTGCAGCAGGATAGGTCAGAGGTCAAGCATCACCAACTGGAGTATGGATACTGGAGGACTTGCCAGAAGGCCACCACTCTCTCAGCCAATTGTGAACACCAACTTACTATGCAACACAAGCTGTTCACACATGAGGAGACAATGGCAGCTCAAGAGTTGGAGAAGATGAAGCTCACTGTCAAGGTTGGAGGAACTTCATGCTTGGAACCTCACCTTGCAAAAAGGTGTAGCTGGCAGTGAGGATCAAGGCCCTTTGTCTAGCAATCAAAATGTTTATCTGCTTTGAAACAGTGTATGACAGAATACTGATCATCATTTAGTATGCATCCCCATTCCCCCCCCACCTAGTTGTATTGCTGTCCCCCCCCTCCCTCCCATGTATACATCTGCATCTGTATTCAGCATCTACAATAGTATGTAGTAGTATGTGAACTATGGATGTCTGTTTTGTTTGTTATCAGTTTGTTATCACTTGCTAGATCTCTCTGTTGATAAGCATACACACTTTTCAGTGGAGTTTGAATTTTAAATCAGAGTATTAGTAGCATTATCTACACATCTACTGTTTCCAGGTCACTCACTTTTTCTGCAGAGATTGAATATTTGCCCACAAACTCACAACTCATCTGCACTTGAGTTTGCTCACATGTTTTTTCCACATTTAACTTTGAGCAGCCCTATTATGCCATTGCTAATGCCATGCTTGTACCACAGCCATGTCAATAGGGGGAGGAATGTTGCTGGGGTCCATTTCTGCTGACTAGTGGGATTGGTCAACAAAGGGGGTGGTGGATGGAACAGCAGTTCCTGAGGTTGTAGGGGGTATTGAAAACAAACCCAAGCTCATTTGGGTCAGGAGAGGGGCAAGGGTGTGGGATAAAGAAGTTCTGGAGTTACTTTGTGGAACAACTCAAGAGGGGGAAGGGGAAGTGGGGTGAGCAGGGACAAAGAGCACAAGAAGGTGCAGAGCAGAGAGTTCCCTTTTTACAGGGAGGAGACTGAGAGGGAGATGAAGCTTGACCTCTTCTTTCTTAATGGCAGGAATGGTGGTAAAGTAAGGGTAACATAGGTGTACTACTCACCAATAATGTACAAGACCTCTAAACACATAGTTCATTCACTGTCACTCTCCTGATCAATCTCCTAGAAATAGGGAGAGACCAGCCAGGCACACTATGCAAACTACAGTGGGTGCAAGTACATTGACTACTGGTCTACATCCACTGCTGTGCAGGAGCTATGACTGTATATGGCTCAGCTGCTCTGGACCTTGCAGGCCCTCTTGATCAAGCATCACCCTGCATTCACTGAGCTCAACCTTGGGAAGGTGTATGTATGTATGGTAAAACTTGGTAAGATGCCTGCCCAACTGGCTTCATTGCTTGGGTGCTCTCAGTCACAATGATGGAGGCAAAAAGAATCTATGGGCAGAACTGCCCACTATGAGTATTATACTGCTGTTGACCCTCAGTGCCAGGTAGGAAGTGGTAGGGGAGAAGTAGGAATCTAGTTCAAGTGAGGCAACCAAAGATGAGAGTCTTCTTAGCTATTACTTCAAACCAGAGAGTGTGGGAGTGGAACCTGTTGATTGAGGGATAAGCTCAAAATGAACTAGATTAGAGAAACTGGCTATGACAAATGACAGGATTTATATACTGCCCTACTGTTTGGTACATACTGCCATGGGAGAATGTTCTGGAAAGAAGTAAACAAACAAGAAAACTATGCTATTGGATGAGAGCAAACATGTGGCACAGGTGAAGCACAGCCTTACCAAGCAACAAGTAAGCATGAGAAAGTAAGCAAAGGAAAAGTCCAAGATGACTAAGCATCTCCTAAATGGTAATCCTAACCAGAGCATGACTATATATGGGCAAGTAGGAACCAACAAAGTGAAAAGTCTACTGGTCATTACACCTTTTCCCTCTCCTCCATCAGAGCCCCATTCATGAAGCTTTTATTGAGTTCACTGAGAGGACAAATGGGTGGGAGACACAATTGCCTGTGCTCCCATTACCCCACAGACCCCCAATGCCCTAGCCCTTTGTCACCTGACTCATGCCATCCATTTCTGGAATTTAATACTTCCCCATCTGGAAACACTGTCCATCTGTCATCCCATCTTTTGGTCTAGTGATGTCTCTGCCAAGATCTGACATACATTGCCACCCCCTAATGTGACACCAGTGCACTTGCTCAGTTTCTGACATTCTTTGACTCATACTGTGATATTTTGACTGTCCTTGACTCATTTGTTGTCAATACTTACCAATCCTCTTTGGTTGCTTACTTTTCATTTCTTGCTTACTCATCATGATTACTCATTGCTTACAGTCCTTACTCATTACTTACCAAGCATTTGTGCCTTGTTTGTCATAGGCTGTGCTCCCCCCACAGTATATAAACCCCTGTACTTAGCTCAAAAAAAATCAAGAAGTCACTCAAGAATCAGTTCAGTTCATCTCAGGCATACAGTGAGGGACAAAAGCAATGCAATGTTTGTGAGGTGTGACTTGCTGCCAATGTAGCTCAGGCTATTCTGCACAGATAATCATGATACCTATACCATTGGAAAGGGGTGGCTCTAAGCTTGCCAGAGCACTAGGGTTCAGTCCAAACAAATCAATACATGCTGAGATACACCCTATTCTTTCCAAAAGGTGCATTGCAATGCTTTTGTCCCTGACTGGTGAAATAGTGAAAAGTGACCTTTTGATGGGAAAATATGATTACATAATAAGCCATATGATCTTCCAGATGATTGTCAGCATGTAAACAATGACAAACATTGGACTTGTACCATTAACCCTCCCTCTTTTACCACAACTCATGAAATCACCCCAACTTTCATACCAGTGTTCCTGTGCCAGAAATGCATTGGTTGAGAGGGGACTGGTTTGTCCATCATGTTCTGAAGTGCCAGATTGACCTCCATAACATTTTCAGCCTTCCAAGTACTGATTAGTCCCAGAACACATCAGGCATGGGTGGGGAAACAGTCCAGGGAATGACTGACAGCAGGTTTTTTAAGGGACTGATGGTTCTGAGAGCATGTTATACTGATGGCACTGTGGTGGCCACCAGTATTTGATAAGAATTCCTTGAGAAAATGACCATGCAAGCTAGAGAGATGATTTCATGAGTTGTGGTAAAAGAGGGAGGGTTAATGGTACAAGTCCAATGTTTGTCATTGTTTACATGCTGACAATCATCTGGAAGATCATATGGTTTATTATGTAATCATATTTTCCCATCAAAAGGTCACTTTTCACTATTTCACCAGTCAGGGACAAAAGCATTGCAATGCACCTTTTGGAAAGAATAGGGTGTATCTCAGCATGTATTGATTTGTTTGGACTGAACCCTAGTGCTCTGGCAAGCTTAGAGCCACCCCTTTCCAATGGTATAGGTATCATGATTATCTGTGCAGAATAGCCTGAGCTACATTGGCAGCAAGTCACACCTCACAAACATTGCAATGCTTTTGTCCCTTACTGTAACTCATTGTCAACAGTTGAGGCTCATTCAGAAGAGTCTATCTGTCATCATTCATATTCTTGGTAGTTGAGGCTCCATCGAGGGTCTATCTACCTTTGTTTATTATCTGAAGTGTCATCTGTGCTTAGTCAGCACATTTGATTAGTCATCCTTTCACTCCTGTGTAACTCCTCATTAACTTCTGCCAGGACTCCTTTTGGCTGAATACCTTTGCCCTATTCAGCATCCCCCACCAAGTCTTCATTCATTCATCTACTACCACATACCTTGTTGTTGACTTGTGCTAGGAGCATGTCCCATCAAAGATCATTACTCAAGTCAGCATCCCCCTCTCAATCATCTCTTGTTTGTCTACTCCTGCACAACATGTCACTGACTTGTGCTCAGAGCACCTGCCATTGAAACTCCCCCCCACTTTAGATTTTTCTGCCCTCCAGGTTCTGCAGAGGTAAACCACCACTTGCTCTTATTTGTCTTTGGTGTTGGATTTGGTTGGTTTACACCAGCTTTCCACACTTTGCCTCACACCACACTACCTAGGACCAATGATCATTGTCTGACACACTAAAGGCAGCCCATACATTCTTGCAGAATTAGATGGTGCAGTGTTGAAATTCCACTTTGCTGCCTTTTGTCTATACCCCTATTTCCTGCAGAATAACACTCATATTGAGGTCACCCAGCTGACCAGTGTTTCCTCACAAGACCTAGATCACCTCAAAGACAACTCATTCCTGGACCCTACACTTGCTGGTGTCCCTTTGGATGAGTCAGTTGAGTAGCCCATCCTTCCCTTTACTTACTTGCTTTTCTTTCTCCATTCTTTCTTTTGTTGATACCCATTTCATCTCATATAAAACAGGAAGTCCAAAAACAAAATTTGCAACACTCTTTCATTCAACGATCCTATTTTTCTTTGCCTACTGTAGTAACAATACTGATACATGAGAGGACTCTGTTTTTCTATGGAACATATAGGTACAAGAACAAAAATTCTACAAACACAAGAACAGTATTTACAAGTCCTGGAGTTTTTCCTTCAGCTTCTGCAATTCCTCATGCCTTGCCTGCACACCCATGATCTGCCCCTCCAAATGCCTCCCCAGCAGCCCCAGAATCCTCTGGACCTGACCTAGCTCAAACTTCTTGTCCTTGGCTCTAGTCTCTAGCATTTGTAGTCACTCAACAAATTCACTGTCAGCTGCTTGTGTGGGTTTATGACCTGTGGAGTTTCTGTGGCCACTGGCCTATCACCTTGCTCTGGCATTTCAGCATCTTCAGGCTCATTCAGCAGCCTGGTTGCTGTTGCAGAGAATCCTTCAAGAAGTGACTGGTGGCTTGTCAGAGGGCACTGGTTGGGGTTCATCAACAGGAGGTAGAAAAGGGTTGAAGGAGGGACTGGGTGTGGGGGACACTCCAGGAAAGAATAGATGGGGTGTTGGTGAAGGGTCACAAAGGCAAGGTGATGGCCTTGGTGACAGTGAGTGCATAGGAGTGGGAGGTGGCCTTGGTGGGGGGACAACTTTGCATGGCAGAATTTTCAATGTTAGCCTCATAGATGACCTGGACCCAACCACAGCTGGCACTGCAGTCAGCATCATCACTGACTTGGTTCACTTGTGCAAAGGGCTGGTGCCAGCCCCAGAGTTCTTGTGCTGTAGGTGCTGTCACCCTTTCTTTTTGGAGTCCTCTGCCCCTGCCACACTTACCTTTCTGCCTATCCCACATGAACATGTACATCTGCATTTTGCACTCTTGCATTGCTTGCAGGATGACTGGGGCTCACCAACACATGTGACCTTGGCCTGAGTGCACACCTCACATGGCTTGTCATCTCCAGTCATGCAGGGCCCTCCTGCTGGGGGCCCAGGCTCATTGCTGTTGTTGTTGTTGTCAGTGAGTTCATCCTCCTCATTGGTAGCCTGTGGAGCTTTTTTTTATTTAGTTGGGGTCAGTAAAAATGCTTGGAATTGTCAGGGACATGGCACATATCCTCTCCTTGCCTTTCCCCTTGCTTGCACTTCCCAAGTCTCCCCCTGTCAAGTGCACAGCTCCTCCCAACAATCCTCCTGCTTCTGTGTTGCCTGGCCTGTGGTCTTGACCATTGCCTCTTGTTGCTTGACCATGTGTTCACACCATTGGGTCCTTGGCTAGCCTCTCTGCCTTGCACCATGCCCTCTCTTTGACCCTCTCCTGGTAATCCTTGAAGAGGTCATTGATGTCAAATTGTCTTTGGCCTTGGGTCAGCAAAGATCAGCAATTGCAATTGCTCCCATGACCAGGAGGTTGTCCATGCATGCTGACTGCTTGGTCAGCCCCCAGAAGTGCATGGCCATCAATGTCAGGTATGATGATCCTGTGCTTGTCCACATATTGCCACCATGAGTAGATGTTGGCCTGCAGAGTTTCTTTAGAGCCATTGAGCCATGTGAGATGACTGCATACTTACCCAGGTGCATCCCACCCATCTACCCAGTTATGGATGGCTGCCAGCCTCTCCTCTGGCTGAGTCACTTCTTGAGTCATTCTCCCTGTGCATTTCAATGCCCCTGTGAGTGCTGCTATACCCTGAGCCTCCATGCTGAATACCAGTCATGCATTGTGGACCAAGTATGCTTGCATGTCACTGAATGGGTGTGGGCATGGGTGACTAGATGTAGCTGTTGTTGGGGAGTGAAGGTTTAATGAGTGGTGAGCCCCCTTCTTGGTGAGTTTAAATCCTGCAGGGCTATCTCACAGAACATGGAATTTCCCTCTGCATGAGGCAGAATTCCAAACACAAACCATCATTGTTACATAATGCCTGCTGAAATTCCACATTTGTCTCTGTCATGTCTCAGTTTGGCCTGACCAAGGACAGTCAGCATTTGAAGTCCCCAGGAGGTGCAGGGAGCTGTATACTCCCTGAGGCTGAAACAGGAAACAGTCAGTAAATTCCACTGCCTCTGCAACAAGCTCCTATCACTCTATGCCTTCAGAATTCTTCCCACTTGTTGCCTCATGTTTTGTCCCACCCCCTTTTGGCTTCAGATTTTCTCCTGACCTTCAACTTGTCACTCAGTCATCATTAAGCTGATCCAAAAATTCTGCATTTGCCCAGAGTCATCAATAAGCTGACCCAGAATTCCACATCTGAGCCACCAGCCAGCCATGTCACCAGTCATCTGTGCCAATCATCTCTAAAAAACTCTGATTTCCCCTGTCATCCCAAACTCCACGGATTGTCCTTCATACCCATAGGCTCCCCCCTTCTGCAGTTCTGCCTTCCCACCAACTCCACCTCTCACCTGTACATGTACCCTTGTTCTGTTGGAAGATACCCCCCTTGCCTTTGTTCCGCTTTCCTCATTTACCACTTGCCAGCCTATTTCATGTGCACCTGTACTTTGGTGATGTCTGTCATTCCTTCCTTTATTTTCCAGGCCTTTAGTTTTTCTGCCCCACTTTACTCTGACTCAAACCTACGTCCCATGTACTATATAATTCCACTGTATTGTTGGAAAAATAACCACCCACTTTTGGAGTCACTATCTGTGTGTGTTTCACAAGTTCAAGAGTCCCCAGAGTCTAAAAGTGTCTATTGAGTCTACAGCACCTGCAGTGTCTCCAGTGTTCTCTGTGCCTCCTGCATTCTCCAGTCTCCCCCTCTTCTTGTGCCTCCCTTGTCTCAGATACACTCTTCTTGTCACATATCAGCCTCCTGGAATTCCATATACCAGACTCACTGTTGCTCACACATCAACTATCCTGTGGAATTAAATTCTGCAACCCTTGCATGTATACCCCATCCCTTCTAGTGTAATCCTCAACTTCTCCTTCCACTCAGCACCCCTTGGGACAAGCCTAGGGAATTTTCCCTACAGCTTTCCTCTAGTCACACACTTCCACAGAAGTTGTGACCCACACCACCACACCCCTTTTGCCTGTCACCAGCACCAACCTGCTGGCAAGCAAATGATAAACTCCAACTGTTTCTTTATTGCTGATCCTGCCATCATTGGCACTGTTTACCATGAAGTCAACAAGAACTCCCCTCTTGATCTTGTGTACCATGTGTTGATCCAAGCCCTTTGGCTTGAGGAACTGTCCCACTAGTTAACTGACAGAACTGCCTTCTGTTCCCCACACAAATCGTCTTGGATGAGGTTGCCTGCAAGCAGGTTTCCCTGCTCCTTTGCATATTTGATATCCTTGGAGGCACTGACCTCATTTACAACATCAGGCATCACCCTGACCTGATCCCCCCCCCTCCTCCTGGGTCTCAAAGACCCTCAACTGCAACTTCTCCCCCAGTTTCCTCTGCATCATTGTCCCCTCCAGTGTCATCACCATTATCCTCCCCATCCTCTGGCTCTCTTCACAGAGCAGACAGACCTCATGCTTGCTGCCTTTCAGGTCCCAACCCTCATCCATGTGAGTCTCATGGCTCACCCTCATCTCCTTCTGAGGTAGACCCTGTTGTCACCTTTGGTGTTTCTGCTGATGAAGTCATCACTACCATGAATCACATCAAAATGATCACAAGCTTACCTCCTTTGCCTACAAGGAGTGAATACCTGGCCACTTGGCCTTTAACCCACTCTGATCCATACTACTGGCAAGCATGCTACTCCTGCCATCATTTCAGACACATCCAAGTTAACTGTAACCTCTATGAGTGCCCTTTATGTCACACCACTTGTCCTGCACATACCCAAGGCCAATGCCTGTCCATATGCCCTCACTGCCCTCTTGGTGAAGGAATCTCTACCCCTGGGCTGATAGATGACTGTACTCTCATCAGAAGTGAGGACTACAACAAGTACAATAATAACTTTGACTTTGATGACTCTGCCATCACCAACCTGACTGGAGAACCTTATGGAGAGTAATTTGAAGTCAGGGACTTCAAACCTTAGAAAGGGGGTAATGTTACATTTTTCCCCTGTTTTTCACCTTGCTGTTGCCTCATTGCCTTCTGTTGGAATTATTTCCTTTTCTGGCCATCTTCTCTCTGTTCTGATGGCCCTTTACCTCCACCACTAGCAATAGTTCCTCATGCCTCACCTTGGACATGTGAAGTTATTGATCAACCAATAGTGCAGTTACCAGGAGGGCTATGGTGTTGTAGGGTTGGGGATGGGCATCTGCAAAAAGAACACTCTTCAGCCACTCATCAGCTTTCTGCATCAATCTCACCTTCTTTGTAGTCTTCTTCAGTGGGCTGATATCTAGAAAGTGCATCTGGGGCTTGATGTCAAATAGCAGGGACATGGATGAGCTTAAAGTTGAAGAGTAGGATACCCTCAATCCAGTGATTGATGGTTGCATTAGGGTGAAGATCTGGATCATTGAGCATACCTTTGATGTACTTCACATCAACCTCTACCCATAGATGATGAATGCCATAGAGATATGGATGATAGTGACAAAGTGCTCTGAAAAGACCATAAAGCTTGAGCCTAGGCTGGCTGTAGCAAGATTCATGTTCATTGATGGGGAGCAAACCAGAGCAAGCAGGATGTTTGCAACCTTCATCATCATACTGTGTCAAGTACAGGTTTACCCTTGGGTGACCAGGCTTCAAGTCCAGGTGATAGGGGCTAAGTCTGGTTGACCAGAGTCAAGGCTGGAGGTCAGGGGCCAAGTCCAAAGGTCCAGGGTCAAGTCCAAAGGTCCAGAGTCAAGGCCAAGAGCATGGGAACAAGTCTGGGACCATGGGAAAACAACCAGTCTTGGAGCCCACACAGGGGGAAGCCAGTCCAAGGTTGGATTTACATCCCTTGGTCTCAGCTTATGTGCTGTACCCTTATGCAAGCCAGGGAGAGGTCTGGGACAGGGATCAGGGATAGACTAAGGCTTGGCCTTAGCTATGGAATAGACTCAAGGGGTAATACAGAGTTGAGGGTAATACTAAGTTGATATTCTGACTGGAGTGCTATGAAATATGTACAGGGGTTAAATACATGAGGCCAGTCCAGAGTAATGAACATGAAGCCTGACTTGTTAATAAGCTATTAGCAAGATGATTAGCAAGGGGTGGATAGCCACAGAGGCTGTGCTGAGACTAATAGCCAAAGTCTGGGTGACTGGCATGACTGGAGTTGGACACAGGATTTGTACAGTAAGCAGAGATCAGGCAAGAGGACTAAACTAAATATAGCACAAACATCAGAGAACAGACCAGAGTTATGTCTGAGTGACCTGGACATGGACCTGGGAGGACTGGGGTGGAGCAGTGCAAGTCCAAGAGGCCAGAGTGGACTGGAGATAGGGGTAAAACACCAGACTTGAGTTATCTAGGCCAGAGTTGGGTTTTCTAGGTTGGACTAGGTTCAGACTCAACTAGAGATAGGGGCTAGGGGTCTGGACTGGACTGGGTTTGAGTCCAAGAGTGATGGATGTGACATACTGGGACAGAACAAATCCAATGGCAACATTCCTGGTATTGACAGAAAGAATGACTGGCAGGTCAGATGAGTAGTCAATGGGGCAAAGGGTAGGAGCAGATGAGATGGCAAGTTTCAAGGCATCAAACACATCTTGCTTGGCCTGACCCCATATGAATGGAGCATTCTTGCAATAGAGATCAATGAATGAGTGAACATCCTTGGGAGTGGTGAGCATTGGCCAGTTGACAACCTTCTTCACCTTACTTTCATCAGGAGAGTGACCATGAGGATGGCATGCTTGGCCAAGATTGACAACATGAGGCTGGCAGATCTGAGATTTTGTGCCAGAGAATGTTCCACCAGCATGAGCAAACTGATGCATGACTCTATGCATGTCTACAGCATGTTCCCAAATGAAGCAACACATGCTGGGATTCTCAGGTAATGTTTTGGCATCTTCATCACAAGTGGCAGGGCCCTTGATGGGCAGGTTGTTGATGAAAATGTTTGCAATGTGAGGGATTTCATCCTGTAGAATAAAGGCTGTGCAGTTCTGAAATTCTGATGGCAAGTTGGTGTAGCCTTGAGCCATGGCAGTATGGCACAGTAAGCCAAGAGGCTTCATGAAGGATGTCAGATCTCAGTGTCAAAGTAGCACAACACCCCTGACTTCCTCTTAGGGCAGAGTAGGAGTGGGTTGGGCTGCAGAGTACAGTGGTCAAAGTCCAAAGTGAATCCAACCACTGGGTGGTGAGATATTCAACAAATAGTGAGTGGAGGGGTATGGAGGAAACTTTCAGAGGCAGAGGTCAAAGTCATAGTCAGAGGTCAGAGGTCAGATGTCAGATGAGAGGGCATTGGGTTCAGCTAGTGTGCTGCCCCCTTGTGTGAGCTCATCCCTCATATTTCAGAGGTAGAGCAGACTCAGAGGGAGTGGAGGTGAGACTCTGGGGGGGGGACCCAGAGGGAGTTGGAAGTGGGGACTTTATTCAATATTTGTACTGATTACATTGGAGTACTATGTGGCCTTATATACAATGTAGGTCAAGGACAGTGCAGTGTAGAATGCAAACCAATAAGCATATAACAGGTTAGCAGTCCCTCTGACACAAGGGATAGAGGGTGGGGACAACAGGGACCTTAACTGAGACAAGGAAACTACTACAATAAGGGAGAGAGGGTAAATACTGAAGGAGCAGAAGAATGGAG